GCGGGGCGCCTGGGTGGCGCAGTCGGTTAAGCGTCCGACTTCAGCCAGGTCACGATCTCGCGGTCTGTGAGTTCGAGCCCCGCGTCAGGCTCTGGGCTGATGGCTCAGAGCCTGGAGCCTGTTTCCGATTCTGTGTCTCCCTCTCTCTCTGCCCCTCCCCCGTTCATGCTCTGTCTCTCTCTGTCCCAAAAATAAATAAACGTTGAAAAAAAAAAATGAGCCAAAGGTTTCTCTAAAGGTACTGGAATCATCAGTGTCTCCAATGGATAGTATCATTTCTTCTGGAGTGCTTTAATATGTAGTAGTTTTTTTTTTTTTTTTAATTTTCTTATTTGTAAGTAAGCTCTACACTCAGCATGGGGCTTGAACTCACAACCCCCAGATCGAGAGTAGAATGCTCTACTGACTGAGCCATCTAGGCACCCCTGTAGGTTATTTTTAAAATTTATTTTATTTTTTTAACAGAGGGACATGTTTAATATTTGAAAGTAGAAAATATTAGTTTATGTATATCAATCTAATCATACAAAGCATTAGCTAAACAATTGGCAAGATGTTTTGTTATCCCTGAAACAAAATTTGTTTTGAGTAAACTCTATGGCTAGTGTGAGGCTTAACTTATGACCCCCAAGATCAAGAGTTGCATGCTCTACTGACTGAGCCAGCCAGGCACACCATCCTTGAAATTTTTCATTTCAGTACCAGGTTATCTGCTATGTTGAACAGCATTGCTGGTGTAAGACTGGGGCAGAGTGACCTATAAGAGGGAGGCCTGGCCATGGCAAGGCAGAAAATTAGGAAAAGGCCAGTATGACATAAGATTTTTCTCTGTTATCATTTACTTTGAATTAGTTTTGATTCCTTGAGTGAGAACTGAGCCTCAGTGATCTGACCTGGGAGATACTGGCCAAGCTTCACTAAGCAGATCATTTCTTGATTGTAATACTTTTGAGACTTTACTGAGAAAAATAATTGAATTCCAAAAACCTCTAAGCAAGGCAAATGCTAGGAGCTTTAAAAATTATCCTAAAAATTAGATGGAAACTATCGTTTAACTGATATAAAAAAGTTAGCTATTGTAATGTACAGCATGGTGATCATAGTTAGTAATACTATATTATGTATTTGAAAGTTGCTAAGAGAGCAGATCTTTTTTTTTTTAGATAACAGTGTAAACATTTATTTTCTCTGCAATTACCCACATTTTTTTTTTAATATATGAAATTTATTGTCAAATTGGTTTCCATACAACACCCAGTGCTCATCCCAAAAGGTGACCTCCTCAATACCCATCACCCACCCTCCCCTCCCTCCCACCCCCCATCAACCCTCAGTTTGTTCTCAATTTTTAACAGTCTCTTATGTTTTGGCTCTCTCCCACTCTAACCTCTTTTTTTTTTTTTTTTTTTTTCCTTCCCTTCCCCCATGGGTTTCTGTTAAGTTTCTTAGGATCCACATAAGAGTGAAACCATATGGTATCTGTCTTTCTCTGTATGGCTTATTTCACTTAGCATCACACTCTCCAGTTCCAGCCACATTGCTACAAAAGGCCATATTTCATTCTTTCTCATTGCCACGTAGTATTCCATTGTGTATATAAACCACAATTTCTTTATCCATTCATCAGTTGATGGACATTTAGGCTCTAAGAGAGCAGATCTTAAAGGTTCTTATCATAAGAAAAAAGATTTTGTAATTGTGTATGGTGATGGATGTTAAAAAATTATGTTTCCATCCTATAGGCAGCTTCTAGTAGGAGATATTTAAAAATAGTTAAAATTTGTAGGTATATTTTATGAAGAATATTCTTTATCTGATGTAATTTCTGTAAGCTTGTAAAGTTTAAAAAATTCTTCTGAAGTCCGTAAAATTTTAATTTGTATTATATTTACTTTAATGCATTTTTAAGTTTACAGTGAAAAAAAAGTTTCCTTCAGAATTTCATCCTGTAGCTTCATGGTTGCTGTTGGAGGGTTCAGGGAGGTCTCTGCATCCCAAATACTTTAGAATAAGAAAGAAAAAAACAAAAACCAAACAAAAGCAAAAAGTTTGAAAGCAACCAAAAAAACTGTTGGTGATGGAAGCACACCATTATGAGTTTGTCCCTTTTGGCAAGTGGATTTGTAAAATAAATTTAATTCCACATTATTATTTTTTTTTTTAATTTTTTTTTTCAACCTTTATTTATTTTTGGGACAGAGAGAGACAGAGCATGAACGGGGGAGGGTCAGAGAGAGAGGGAGACACAGAATCGGAAACAGGCTCCAGGCTCCGAGCCATCAGCCCAGAGCCTGACGCGGGGCTCGAACTCACAGACCGCGAGATCGTGACCTGGCTGAAGTCGGACGCTTAACCGACTGCGCCACCCAGGCGCCCCAAATTCCACATTATTAAATGATAGCAATTGTTTGCTGTGAAATCTAAATTCTTAGTGGAAAAAGGCATCAAAACACATAATCCAGACTTCAGGATCAGTTGTGGATATTTTTCTTCCCCATGAGTGTTTTAGGGAACCAGTAAATGTAATTAGTTAGGGGCTGGGAACGAGAAGAGCTGAGTCCCTTAGGCTCAGCCTGACTCATGTTTACGGGGGCCTGGCCTGTTTAAGGCAGTGTTTAGGTGTTTGGGATTAGACACCATAAAATATGCTTATATCTTAAGGGCTTTGACTCTCCGTTGGGTAAATCAAGCCTAACTTATTGATGGAGAACAATAGGTGGCAAAAACAAAGCAAAAGACAGACTTGCAACAAGCAAATACTAAAATAACAAAAGGAAATGTCCAGCAGTTTTCTCAAATTGAGAAAGCAAGGAGGCAAGTGTCAGCACCATTGATAGTGACCTTGAAGTCTTTAGATAACCTCAGTGTTTTGACTGAACTGAATTGAATAAAATGTGCTTTTTAAAGCTTTATTTCATAGGGATAATTTACTAAGCCTGTCTGGAAATAAGGACCTTGGTAATGAGACCCGCTTTGAGGCAAACACTTTTAAAAGTTCAATTAAAAAATTTTTCTTAATGTTTATTTTTGAGAGAGAGAGAGAGAGAGAGAGAGAGAGCAAGCAGAGGAGGGGCAGCGAGAGGGAGACATGGAATCTGAAACAGGCTCTAGGTCTGAGCTGTCAACACAGAGCCCGATGATGGGCTTGAACTCACGAACCGTGAGATCATGACCTGAGCCAAAGTTGGACGCTTTACTAACTGACTGAGCCACCCAGATGCTCCTCAAAGTTCAATTTAGAAGAGCAGTGCCATTTTCAGAACATGTGATTCTGGGTTAGGAAGGAAGTGCCTGACTTGGGGTGGTGAGGGTTTCCAGGCTCATTGCTGGGATACATATAGCTGCATTTTCTGTGGTTACATTAAAAAAGCCAGAATGTTGCAATTTCATGTAGAATGGACTTCAGAATTTGAAGAGTTTCTTAACTTACAGCAAACAGCAGGGTGAATGAAGAAAGGTACGTAGTTGAGGTCTCTTACATTTCTAAAGGGGCTGTAAAAGCAGGTATTCTGTGGGTTGTAGTCAATGTGTAAGGTATAGAATGCTGCTTTTACAGTCAGTTTGAATTTGTAGACAAATATTAAAAGGTACCCATGTATCTGTGTTTTGAAAGCCATTTGTCAAAATACTGTGACTGTTTTGAAATATGAAGAAATTGAGCAGATTTCATTTAGTTGCGTCAGTGTTCTCATTGTTTTATGTTTGAGTTTGCTTAATACTTTGATTTCATTTTAACACATCTTTTATTTGCACACTTCTTGTCATGTTTAGCATGTATGCAACATACTAAGTTGCTTATTTTGGATTTAGCTGAATCCTTGAGCATGTAGCATATTGCATGGCATATAGCAGGTGCCTTAATAAAACTGTTTGAATTCATGAATTTAACATATGGTTATTGCATTAAGATGTTTGCTGATGTGACCCTTTTGATGGTTTACCTTTTCCCACTAGCCATTTATTTTCAGATAATTAAAAAGGGATTTTTATAGAACATTCTAGAAAGAAAATATTAGTATTGATGTTCTAGTTAATATAGGCACTTGAAAATTTTAGAAGAAAATAGACTGATTGATACATTTAAAAATAAACTGTCTAATATGAAAAGTAAAGATAACTTTTCTGGAACTGGGTATGGTATGTAGAGAAAGAAAAAGGAAGAACAAATACTCACCTGTAAAAAAAGAACTTACCATTTGTGGCAACATGGATGGACCTAGAGGGTGCTAAGTAAAATAAGTCAGACAGAGAAAGACAAATACCATATGATTTCACTTATATGTGGCATCTAAAAAACAAAACAAATGAACAAATAGCAACAACAAGAAAAAAACCCAGAAACAGATTTATAAATACAGAGAATGAATTGGTATTTGCCAGAGAGGACGGGGGTGGAAGGATGGGTGAAATGAATGGAGGGGATAATGAGGTACAGACTTCCAGTTATAAAATAAGTAAGTCATGGAGATGAAAACTGCAGCAGAGGAAATATAGTCAATACTATTGTAATAATGTTGTGTGGTGACACATGGTGACTGGACTTACCATGGTGAACATTGTGTAATCTATAGTACTGTTGAATCACCATGTTGTACACCTGAAACTAATATAACATTGTATCTCCGCTATACTTCAATAACAAAAATTAAAAAAGAAAAAAAGGATGACTAGACTTTGTGTATAAGATTTAGAGTAAACCTTCCAAAATGGTCCCCATTAATAAAGATGCCAATAATTTAATTATTTCTCATTGTATGTCTCCCTTCTTGGAGAGAAATGTTTGTTATATTGTCAAATCTGCATCATACTGGGCTGCAAAAAGTCTGAGCCAGTAACCCTCATCCCTCAAATATGCGCATGGACAATTGCCATAGAAATGAAAGTTGAAAGTTGGTACATTTCACTGATTGTGACACATCTTGGAAGTTGAGATGATGTATACCTTCTGTATATTTTAACAGTGTCTCTATGGTTACACTCTTTTTATTCCCTCTTTTTAGTCATACAGTTTATCAAGAAAGAAAATAGTGCACTACACCTGTTTTGATCAACGGAAAAGAGCAAATGCAGCATTTTTAATAGGTGCTTATGCTGTAAGTACTTTTTCATGATTATTTTCTATAATCAGGCCAATGGAATGCTAACACTATCACATAAAATCCAGGCCAGTTTTTCAGTGGAATTGGGAGATGGTGAAAATTATTAGCACCCTGGGAATTGATGTGGAATGGAAAGTGTGGACTACTATCCATGGGCTATTTAATTGTCAGATTTTATTTGCTAGTATCTAATGACAGAGTCTCAGAACCACAATGGGGAGCTTGGGTCCCACAGTTGTATGGGTGTTTTTAAAAGAAGAATATCCAGAAAGAATATATAGTGGAAGATTTTTAAAGACTGTTGAGGTGTTCCTTTTTTGCATAAGAGGAAATCCTAGATTGCATGGGGAAGGATTGTTATTATTATATTATCATTATCCATCTACTAATCTATATACATGTTTGCAGTAGGCAAACCAAATATAGGTCCTGCACATATTACACTTCCCTACTAACTAGACAAGACTTTCCCAGAAACGTTTTGATTGCAAATTTTGTTCTCTGTAAGTACTAAAACGTAAATGTGAGTTCCATGTGAATATGCTACAGCGTTTTGGTGTGAATATTTCTAGAATTTTCTATATGTACTGGGATTGGACAAAAACTTGGAAGGCAGAAGCCCACCAAGGCTAAAACTCATTTGTAACCTGTAATAACTTTTTAGGGACAAGTGTGATATCCATGTAGGAATATGCTGGTTTAAAGGCAGGGGAGAGAGGTGTCACTTCCCATCATCCTTAGAGAGGGTCTGTGCTTCTCTGAAGCCTGGAAGCACACTGCTGTGTGACCTTTCCAGGCCCTCCTTCTGAAGATCTTGACGGAAGGAGGCACCAGCTACTATGTATCACACTCTGCCACATTAAACCGAAAGCTCTAGGGGAAAACGCCCAGACAGATGTGGTGTTAGAAAGACTGCCAGCTGTTGCAGGGTGTAGGCTGAGAATAGCCGCAGGCTGACAGCGTGAGTGCAGCCTGGGGCCTTGTTTCCAGGGCTGAGATGCCCAGCTCTGGCCAACTTTTCTCCCTGTGGTGTGGCCACCATGAAGCCGTGGGCCATCCCTTGTGGTACTTTTCTTTCTCACTCTGTAGGCAGCAGGGTATAATACAAAGAATCTTGACTAAGAATCAGAAAAACATTTTTTCATCCTGAAGTGGCTCTGGGATGACGGGTAAGCCACTTTATCTGTCTTTGCTTTATTTAGTTTCCTTATCTGTAAAATGATAGGGTTGGATATAATGACCTCTAAGTTTCCTTCAAATTCTGAGGATACAAAGATTATTTGTAGCACCAGCCAGGCCATTGCTTTTGTTTTAAAGGCACACATGAAAAGCTGGCTGTTGGCATGAAGGCTTAGTGAAGTGCTGGTAAGCTGAATGAAGCAAGCATGCTTATTTTTCACTTTACATTGATAATTATTACTCATTTGGGACTGATAATTGACAGTGTGTTTAGAATATGGAGAGCCTGTAATAACCTTTGGATTCAAGCCATGTAAACAAGGGTGTCTTTCCTGAGGGGTTTGGTGATGCTGTGTGAGCGTGTTCTCTGCGAGCCTTTTGTCATAAGGGATCATCAGGAAGAGGTCATCTACTGCTCTCTCGTTCCTTCTCCTCTTCCTCTCTTCTTTCCTTCTTAATGCCTGTCTTTCCTGTTTCTGGTGTCATCTTTAATTTTATCATGGCACCTCTAGAGTTTTGAAAGGAAGTTCAGTCATAATAAATGCACTGAGCTGGGGATAAAATACATCAGATGCAGAAATTTCCACCACTTTACTGTAACCAAATGAAGGAGAAGCAGTCTCAGCGGGATTGAAGAAGCGCTGAGGGCAGCATGAGCTTGTCTGACACACTAGTTCGAAAAGCGGTGTAAAGTAATTCTTCTTGTACTGTTCGTTTCCTCATTGATTGTCGTTTCCGATTTTGAAAAGGCATGCCCCAGAAAGCTTTTTGACACAACACTTAATTAAAATGGAAACCAAGAATTGTATTCTTTCCTCAAAGAGAATTTTGTGCCTTACTTCGTATTGTGTGTATGCATTTAATTGTTGGCACAAGTCTTACAAGAAGAGAGTCTGTAATGTGCATTATACAAACATCTCAGTGAAGTTACACGTACATTAAATGTTGCTGTTTGGATAAGTCATGGTCTCCTGGGGGAATCTTCCGGTTACTAAAGTCAGATATCCAACTACGTGTTTGTATCTCCATGGTATCTCACATTTATCTTGGCAAAACAGAACTTTTTATTCCTTTTCTCCATGAACCTATTTATTCCCACAGTCATTGCCTTTTTAGTAAGTGGACTGCCATCAGTGACTTGCTGAATCCAAGAATAGTACATTTTCATTCCTCCTGTTTCCTCTTCCCACATTATACTTATCAGTAAGTTTGGTCAACTCTGCCTCTAAAACATATATTGAGTCAGAATACTTCTTTCCATCTCTGTTGTTATCCTGTAGCTCCAGCCACTGTCTCTGTTTACCTGGTTGACCACCAGAGCATCATACATTGTTTCCTTTTTACACCCTGGCCTTTGTTTAATCACAGCTGCCACACAATTGTCAGAGTAATCTTTTAAAAATATAAATTAGATCATTCATGGCTCTGTTTCAAATCTGTCTAATGCTTGCTCACTGTTCTTGGCATTGAATTCAACCTCCTTATCAATGCCATTAAGATCCCCCTTGATCTGGCCGTGTCTACCTCTGTGTTCTCCTGGCTCAGGATGCCCCCGTCACACTGGCCTTCTAACCATGAAAACCTCAAACTTATTCCCACTTGAAGACCTTCATATTTCTGTTCTCTCTGCCTGGAGTGTTTTTATCTAAGACCTGATAATAATCACTTCCTCAGAAAGACTTCCTCTCAAGTTTTACTCTGTTCTCCACACCTCCAGTCACCCTCTAGTTCCTTGTTGTTTTATTTTCTTTATAGTGCTCTGCTATTTGAAATTATCTGATTCGTTTATATATTTACTTGTTTATTAACTCTTTCCTAGACTAGAAGGTAGGGACCTTGTCTGCTCCGTTCATTGCTGTGTCTGGGAGGTGATAAAATACTTAACAAGGGGTTAGGCCCAGGGAGTCAGCAGCTGAATTGGAAGCTGGCCACAATGGAGACTTCCTGTTATGCTGAGCCATGAGGAAGTCCAGGTGAGGGGGTGTCCCAGGGAAGAGATGAGGTGGCCAGTGCGGAGGGCCATGGCATGCTGTGGGCAGCAGCTGTTTACATACTGGTATGGCACTATTTCAGTATTTGAACTCTTAGAACTGTGCCTGGCACATAGTAGGTGCTCTGTAAATATCTACTCAATGAATGAATAATGAGATGACAAAATATGAAAGAAGGAAGGAAGGTAACTTCAGAGGGAAACTGAAAATCATCAAATTGGACATAGAGGGTAAAGTGGTATCTTATTATCAGAATGCTGTGGTCTTGACTGAGCCAACTATGGCCTTTAAAGATGCGGATTCAAAGCAGAGATCAGAGCCCAAGGGCAGTTACCACCTGCACAAAAGTCACATCATCACCTTGCCTTTTGTTGTTGCTATTGTTGTTTTAATTTTTTTTAATGTTTATTTGAGAGAGAGAGAGACAGAGCGCCAGCGCGGGAAGGACAGAGAGAGAGAGAGAGAGAGAGAGAGAGAGAGAGACAGAGACAGAGACAGAGACAGAATCTGAAGCAAGCTCCAGGCTCTTAGCTGTCAGCACAGAGCTGGATGTGGGGCTTGAACCCACAAACTGTGAGATCATGACCTGAGCTGAAATCAGACAGACGCCTGACCGACTGAGCCACCCAGGCGCCTTTGTTGTTGTTTTTGATAAACTCTTTTTTCCCCAATTTTTAAAATTGTGGTAAAATACATACAATATAAAATTTACTGTTTTAGGCATTTCTTTCTTTTTAATTACTTTTTTCATTGAAGTATAATTGACATATCATTATATTATTTTCAGGTGTACAGTATAATGATTTGATATTTGTAGATGTTGAAAAATGATCACCATGATAAGTCCAGATAACATTCATCACCATACATAGTTTGGAAAACATTTATTTCTTGTGATGGGTCTTCATAGTGCAATGGTATTAGGTACATTTGTATTGCTCTGCGTTAGATCGTGACTTTAAGTATGTCACACAAGCTTTTGTAGTCCTACTTTCTTATCTCTAAGTAGGGGAGAGCCTTTTTACGTTTTATCTTCTAAAACTGTCATGAGCATTAAGAAGGAGATAAAATATGGAACATCATGTTCAGTGGGAAATCGACAAACCCTTCTCTATGAGTGATTCTAAAGCCAGGGTTGCTAGAATGAGGTGGCCCCTGGGGATCACAGTGACACTGAACAGATGGATGACAGGCACCGTTTCAGGGAAGTCCCTACTCAGGAAGCGTCTCTTTATTCCTAAACTGTGACGTTATACTTCTTGAGATGGAGGGCACAGATTTTACGAAGACATCAACTTTGTCGGGAAGGTGTTTCCTTTCCAGGACTATACTCAGTGCAGTTTTGGAGTTGGGAATTAGGATGCTTGGATCATAGTGGCATCCACAGCACTTTCATATGAGTTTGAAGAAGATGGCCTTACAAAGTTGTAAGCATACATTAATTAGGTTCTTGCCACGTGCTTACAGACCACATCCTCGCTTGCTACTGTTCTGCTCTCGGTTCACAGAACCATGATAAAGAGGTCAAGGAGAATTTGGATGAAGCACATGATGACTAGGTGATTGGAAAAATTATATGTGTGAGAAGTTAGAATAAATGTGATGGTTTAGCTTAGAAAATGAAATTCAGAGTTAAAAAATTAAGGTTTCTTTTTTATTCCCCTAGATATGTGGAGGAGGCTTAAGCAGAGGCGGTAACCACAATGTGTTTTCCTTAACCCACGTGTTAAGTCCTCACATTGCCAAATAAGGGGTCTAATTATGGATTAACTGGGACAAGGCTGAGCCAGATGTCATGTCTGAATTAGAGATGACAAGGCTAAG